AAGGGGGGGGTCTTCGACCTGAAAAATCAGGGGTTAGGATTTGCACCCAGTCGAAAGAAACCTTGCTATCGCAAGAGTAACTCCAGCTAGCTTCGCTAGCTTTCGTGAAGAATATCTTGTGCGACTCGCAGTTCCTCAAGACGGTCGAAAAAAAAGATCTGACAAGGAAAACATGCAAAAGGCCAAGTAGTTTGGAAGAAGACTCATTTTCAAGTACTGGTTTTGTGGATTGTCTTGCTTCGTCTGGCTTGTGTTGGCTTCCATTGGTTTCAATCTACGGTTGGTTTCAATCTACGGTTTGTTTCTCCGTGCGGATGTTTCGACAGCCTGCCCTGCCCCGGTTGCTTCAGACTAGGCCATGGCGAGAACAGGAAAAAGCGAGTTGAATCAAAGAGACGTGCCGGATTATATAGCTGCTTAAGCCTAGAAGAGGTGATCTTGTCCCTGCCTTGGAACGAAAATAGAACTGTGGAACACTGTTAATAAGCATCATTAGGCTGCCTGCCAATGCGGGCTCGAGCTGGTGGCCGGCGGCATGCCGAAGGCTGTAAATTGGTCACTAGAAACAAAAAAGAACAGCACAACCCTAAGAATTTGAGCTAACCGTTAGCAATGCACAAGCATTTATCTGGAGCTCCTGGCAACCTGCAAAGGTCCCTCTGGGTTGATCTCTTGCCGGTGTCCTGCCGGACGACCGGTCCGTCATGGCGGCCGACCGGGGGGAGATGGGTGGAGAGGGGAGAAGGAGAGATGAGTATCGTACTTTTGTCCAAACCGTCTCCAAATTCTCAGACCAGAACAAAAACAGTTGGTTGCTTGTAGCATCTTGCCCACGCAGCATGTGCTATGTCGTTGATGGCGTATTTCCAGTGCAGCAAATGTTTGGCCAAGGCTTGGGGAGAAACAACTCTCGCAGTCCAGCTCTGCAATCCAAGCATGCCAACCTGCTGTTCAGCACAGATAAACAGCCAAAACATCCCAAAATCTACGAAAGAAAGGAAATGGTTCTAGATTCTAGATGTTCTAGGCAGTGTCCGAGCTTGGAACAGGACGCAAGACACCACTGTTTACAGGTCACAAGTCACTCACTTGGCACTTGCTATGCACACATCACCAGTTGCTTTCGTCCGCCGTTGCAAATCAACATCTGCCGTCTCTTAGCCGAGGTTGGGACCGAGCAAGCGAAGGCATGGCCTATCACTCTCGCTATCACGTGTCGGACACAGAAAGCGTCTACCGGGTCTTGGGCCTGCAAGCAAATCTAGCCTGAACAAGGCAGCAAGAGGAAGCAGGATCCTTAGCACACGAACCAGAACAAAACCTCGTTCGCTCTTAGGTTGGAGGCCATCGCTATTAGGTTCCTTAAAGTGTTCTTCCTTAAAGTCTTTTACCAAAACCAAACTGCACTTGGCCAGTTCGTCGCCAAAGTTCCAGCTACGGCGCAAGGAGCGCTGCCTTGGTCGGACAAATCGGTGGTTGCAGACTGGTGCCATTCTGGTGTTCAGAAACTCTGCGCAATCTCCCAACTTGAATTCCTAGTCAAGGCGCCTTGCACCAATCATTGCCAAATTCTGCATGCAACTCACTTACAAGTGCCAAACTGTGTGTTTCACTTGCCGCATTCAAATTGCTCCTGGCATCTATCTGTTGCTAAGGCTAGCTAAGCAAATGAGTTACAAGGGGCACGCTACCATTTGTCGTTGCGAGCTCTGAAAGCTTTGTTATACTTCCTCCTGATCATGGCAGGAGGCTAGTGATATCGTGATAGTGCATCCATCTACATACTGTCTGCTGCAATAATTCTCCGCATGTATAAGTGTCATTGCCCCTCTGGTTGGAGCCAAAAGTAAACACTTCTCCTGATTCCGTCAATCTGTTAGTTTGTGCAAATGTCCATGCGCGCAACCCAGTTTGTTCAAACTTGTTTTGTATTGGCCGATGTATGGCACTCCCTCTGACAAGTTGATCACCACGGTGATGAGGGTCGAAGTTGATCCCCACGCAAAACATGCCAAGGCGAGCTTTTTGTGCGGGGCTTATGTCTCCACAAGCTCGTACCTTGACAAGGCTGCGTGTTCTTTGTCACTACCAGCAAACAATGCAATACAGTTGCCGCCATGTTGGACATTAGAGTCTTGCGGGAGTCAATCAGGTCACTCAATCTGCGAGAGGTTGGTCTTCCCAATCTGGCCAAGCATCCAGAATACACTCAGCAGATGCATTGTGCACATCTAGGAACCTTGCTTGTGGCTATGGGTCAAGACCGGATCATGCTCACCCCACGGTAAATGGAATGGACTACCAGGGATGTCGGCCTGCAGTTTTGGGGTTCGATTCGGCCCACATCCATATGCCCATGCCGGAAGAAGCGGCTAATATGTCAACCCATTGACAGCCCGCTGAGCCTTTTCGATGCTCTTGACCTCAACGTCAAGCTTGCCCAATTCATCGATGGTCAAGCGCATGAACCCCTGCGAAAGCCGCGAAGCTGTGGCCAAAAGCCCATCAATTAATGCAAAGAGAGTAAGGGGCATCAGACACATGTTTGTTCTACTAAGTAGCCTCCACCATCCTTATCGAAGAGTTCCTTGCAGCCAGAACCTGACACAGAATCAGGCGGCTGGCCAAGAGCATGGCCGTCAACCACTAAGCATCTCATCTCCTCTTCCCTGCGAATATACAAGGTCTCGTACTCGTCTGCATATGGTTACAAACTTGTGTAGTCCAAGGATATCAAGAATCTGTGAGTACATAGTGACTATGCCGAATGCGCTTGGCACATCAAGTCTTCACGGGCCGCAGCCGTCCCAGTATGGTTTGTACAAACAAAGACCTAGAAACACACCTGCAAACTTCCATCTCATGCAGATTGCCTTGCCCGGCTGAACGGAATCGGTCAACTGCGACTCTTGCAAACACAGGATCACCTAGCAAATGAGTGGACATAACCAAAGCATGTTGCACTTTGAGGCTGGGGATACAAGTTTCACTAAATAAGATACTACTATTTTCATGTCGAAAATAGAAAAGACTCTGTGCTTATCAATATTCCAACACAAGGAAGAAGGAATCACATCATCAACCCAACTGCACGGCATCCATGAAGGAAAGACTCCTTGCCTGAGCAGTCTCATCTCCACAAAGCACCTGACAGGCTCGACATTCACTCGACATGGGGCTAGAATGGACCAGTCACCATTATATAAGTTTTGGAGAGGAAAAACCTACTGTTGCCCATGTCAGGATGTTAGATTTGCTTTGTCTTCTGTATAATAAGTGCTTAGAATCGTATGCATATTAATCCTTCTCCATCTTCTTGAAAAAGGCTTTGGCTTCCCCATGTCCATTGTCCAACTCACCCAGCCGTCCGTAACCCCAAACAGACAATCCCTCACAAGGTAAGCTGCTGAGAGCGATGGCCTCCAACCTACCAACCATGGCCTCCAACCTAATAGTGATGGCTCCAACGTACAAGCAAAGGCCTGCAACCTGCTAGCGATGATGGCCGACAACCTAAGAGCGATGACCTCCAACCTCAGAGCCATGGCCTGCAACCTGATAGCGATGGCCTCCCTAATAGCGGTGGCCTCCATTCTAATGGCGATGGCCTCCAACCTACTAGCGATGGTCTCCAACCTACAAGCGATGGCCTCCAACCTACTAGCGATGGCCTCCAAACTAAGAGCGATGGCCTCCAACCTGCTAGCGATGGCCTCCAACCTACTAGCGATGGCCTCCAACCTACTAATAGCAATGGCCTCCAACCTACTAGCGATGGCCTCCATTCTAATGGCGATGGCCAACAACCTACTAGCGATGGCCTCCTACAAGCGATGGCCTCCAACCTAATAGCGATCGGCGATGGCCCCCAACCGACTAGCGATGGCCTCCATCCTACTAGCGACGGCCTCAAACCTACTATCAAAGGCCTCCAAGCAATGGAATCCAAACCTAATAGCGATCGGCGATGGCCTCCAACCTACTAGCGGTGGCCTCCAACCTACATGCGATGGCCTCCAACCTACAAGCGATGGCCTCCAACCTACTAGCGATGGCCTGCAACCTAAGAGCAATGACCTCCAACCTCAGAGCAATCGCCTCCAACCTCAGAGCCATGGCCTCCAACCTGATAGCAATGGCCTCCCTAATAGCGGTAGCCTCCATTCTAATGGCGATGGCCTCCAACCTACTAGCGATGGTCTCCAACCTAAGAGAGATGGCCTCCAACCTCAGAGCGATGGCCTCCAACCTAGTAGCCATCGGCGATGGCCTCCAACCTACTAGCGGTGGCCTCCAACCTACTAGCGATGGCCTCCAACCTACAAGCGATGGCCTCCAACCGAAGAGAGAGATAGCCTCCAACCTAAGAGAGATGGCCTCCAACCTCAGAGCGATGGCCTCCAACCTAATAGCGGCGATGGCCTCCAACCTACTAGCCGTGGCCTCCAACCTACAAGCGATGGCCTTAATAGCGATGGCCTCCAACCTAATAGCGATCGGCGATGGCCTCCAACCCACTAGCGATGGTCTCCAACCTAAGAGAGATGGCCTCCAACCTCAGAGCGATGGCCTCCAACCTAGTAGCCATCGGCGATGGCCTCCAACCTACTAGCGGTGGCCTCCAACCTACTAGCGATGGCCTCCAACCTACAAGCGATGGCCTCCAACCGAAGAGAGAGATAGCCTCCAACCTAAGAGAGATGGCCTCCAACCTCAGAGCGATGGCCTCCAACCTAATAGCGGCGATGGCCTCCAACCTACTAGCCGTGGCCTCCAACCTACTAGCGATGGCCTTAATAGCGATGGCCTCCAACCTAATAGCGATCGGCGATGGCCTCCAACCCACTAGCGATGGCCTGCAACCTAAGAGCGATGACCTCCAACCTCAGAGCGATGGCCTCCAACCTATATAGTAGCAATGGCCTCCCTCAAAAGGTAAGCTGCTTTGCCTCAAAGAACTTCGTGCCATCTCTCTCGACTGCTTCGGCTTCTGCAAGAACCTGTCGAATGCTCAGACTCGTTGAGCGTCGATTGAAGGCTTAGTCAGATTCGATCTAAGACACTGCGGTCTAGCCAATAGGACCGTGGCACAGAAAAAGAATACGGTGCCATCCAAACCTGCTTGTACGGGTCTTTTGGTGAGAACAACAGGTTCCAAGGAAGCAAAAAAATAGCGTCGAGTTCGGCCTTCACAAGCACGTCGCCTCGAGCATCAGGGTGCAAGGTGCCCAGCTTTTTGAACGTAGGCTTTTGCAAGCAAGCCTCCCATAGAAATTGCAAAAAACAATCTTCCAGTCGAAGCTCGACTTCAACTGGAGGAATTTTTGGATGTTACCTTTTGTTTGAACCACAGCGCCATAGCTGTGAAGAATCGACCCTCCAAGTGTGTCCTGCACTGAAAAGCTGATCTTGTGCCTGACTAAATACCTCCTCTATCAGCTGCAAGCCCTTGTTCGCAGCCTCAAGAACCAAGCTCAGAGTTCTACAGTAATTCAGTCCAGGTTATGTATATCTCTCTTTCATACGTGACGTCTTCCGATTCTAGCTTTGAGTTTCAGGAGTGCCTAGAAAACCCTTGGGAGACTTCCCTGCAGGAACCCAGTATCATTCTCACGAAAGACAGCATGACTCTGCAAAGCCCAAGCTCCTCATCTCCCATCTCGTCAGACGCCAAAAATCCCGGCGCCACACCCTGCCAAGGTGCTAACATGCTGAAGACGTGTTCATGTCTCTTCTTCTATCCAAGAGATTGGTGCAGCCAACCACAGGCATGTGCTTCAAAAACACAACCAATCGTTGTCTTCTACCTAGGGTCCAAGGTCGCCATTGTGCGAGATCTACCTTCAGGCTCGACCACCCCCACCAACACCCGTCAGAATGGCCTCTAAAATTTCGACCCTGCCACCAGCTGCCACAATGTTTTCAGCGGCAGCTGTGCTCAAACACCTGCGCGTCATCAAGGCGAAGGCAAACCTTGATTTGCAAAAGTGAAAACTGTGCTAGAAAGATATCAACAGCAAACTAGCATATTTACACTGTACACTACTTACTCGTGTGTTGAGCAAGGGCAGCCATACATGACCAACCATTTTGGCTCCTTGTATCTATGGCTGGCGTGCCCGACTCAAACTTACTACTTTCAATATTGTGAAAGCGGTGTTTGTCTGAATTCTACGATTCTTCCGAGTGATATGCGACAGAACTTCTGTGAGTAGAGAGAGAGAGAGACACAAACAGACAGACAGACAGACAGACAGACAGACAGACAGACCGACCGACCGACCGACCGACCGACCGACCGACCGACCGACCGAC